ACTGAGAACAGCAGTCGTATCTCAGCGATTTTGCTCGCCCTGCATGACATTTTGCTAGCATCCTCCTCACCCCCAGTTACTCCCCTCCCGCAACGACAGGATCACTTCGGGCCCCAGGCCACTTTCATCAACGTCAACACCACCGACCCCGCAGACCCGCCTGGCATGGACTGGCACGTGGAGCGCGTGGATGACATCATCCCGACAAACTTGTATGACGCATTCGTGGCGACACGGCGCCAGCGGCTGGCGGGCGGGGGCGCTGCACCTGGGGGTGGAGGAGGGGGCCGCCCAGGCTGCGCTGGGGGCAGCGGCGCGGGCGGTGGCTACGGGGGCTGCGGGGCACTGCCTGAAAGGGGGTTTTATGGCAGCTGATCCCGGTTTGCGATGCGGGGGCCCCAGAGCCGCATCCGCGAACGAGCGGGGTTTTAGGATGGTGCAGCCCGCTCAAGCTACAATTCGGCTGCTGGCCACCAAGTGATGGGCCATAGAACACCATTGCAATTCAATCTCACGGGCTGTCCTGAGCACGGTGCTGTGGCGTGTGTATGCTTGTGTACAGCCAACCCATTATGGGCCAGCACACTGGGACTTGGATCTTTATTAGATCTCTATCACTTCCATTGCAACCTGCAATTGCCGCAGCACTGTGGTCGTGATTGATTTAGCTCCTATTCTGCCCTTTGATCAGTAGCACAGTGCGCTGCTCCCTGATGCAATAGCTGCAGCATGCTTGCGTCTGCGGGGTGCACCCACTTGGTGCGGCTTCTCTGCGTGGGTTGTAGCAACCATGGGGGGCGCACAGGTCTGCAATGCCCTGGTCGTCACGCATGGCGCGACAAGGTTCACCCAGCGCAGACCCCATTTGCGGCATTATTTTGACGGATTATTTTATCTGTAGTTGCGGCACTTGAAATTTTTAGTGCTCTGAGGATAGGCACCCCATTGTGTGAGCCATGGCCAGCGCTACTGGCTGCAGGCGTAGGCCGGGAGAGTGCCTGTTTTGATTCGTATCGGCAAAATTGGCTACTCTTCATGCCTGGGCCATTACGTGCTCACATCAGCAATCGTAGTTTTTTAAACTCTCTTCCCGTGTTGCAGCAGCGTCCGCCTCACAGGTCCCTTCATGCAGCGTGGCAGGGCCAGGCACAGTCCCCGCGTTTGCAGGGGTCGGGCGTGTTCCCCATGCCATATTACATTTCACCATGTAAAACAGATGTCAGAGGCTTGCATTCGCCTTCCTGTGTGGATGAAGGTTGTGCGCTCCAGAGGTGGCTGCTGTGGGCCTGTTGGGCCTCTGGCAGGGTTCTCGCATCATGGCTGAACCCCCGAGGTGTTCTGGTTCGATTGACCACAATGGCCTTGTCGGCGGTCAGAAGCTCACGACACGGTTGCTTTCAAGAGTCCAAAGTAACTGGCCTCCATGCCATGTTGAACCACGGTGGCTGAAGTGCCAGTCCGTGCTTTCACCATCAATATGAACGGCAGTGCTGCAGAGCGGTATGCAGTTCTCGACCACCACTGGCGAGCACCACTAACACTTGAGAAAGGCCTCTCGCTCACACTTATCCACCAGCGTCGCGCACCTAATCACCCACACTGTCGTCATGATGGACATCCTGTACACATCTACCCCTGCCATGGGGGATTCCACTCCTGGCTTACTGCCGGCGCTGCCTGTTGGCACTGCCTGCAAGCTGGTTGACCGCGTCGGTACTGATTTATACGTGCTGGTTTTGTGAGGTGTATACGTCAGGGCTACATAAGTGTTGTGGTCTGCTGTACTCGTGCTTGTGTACAGGCTTTGAGTTTCCGGGCAGCTTCTTTCGGAAGATCTGCACCTCTGCGGTACCTATGATAGAGAGTTGTCGACTTCCATGTTTCTGTAAATAATCTGCTTAAAGAGGATCAGGGTCAGGCCAAGCGCCCTCGCCCTACAGATCCACATACCGTAATGTGTCATCTGCGGTGAAAATTTTGTCACTTGGACGTCGCTTGTGTGCCCCAGAAATCCAGCTGAACGCGCACAGCACCGGTCCCCCGCGGCGGCTGGGGTGCGGGACCAGCGGCGGCGTTGCGCAGTGCAAGCGTAGGCCGCCGCGATGGTGGGCGGCGAGACAATAGAGCGCAAGCTCCGCCAGATCTACGATGCCTTTGACAGCAGGAACCCAAAGGTGCGCGATAGGCCGCCGCCCTGCTTGCGCGACGGCGGTCGCCGTACAATGCCATGCGGCGCACCCTGAGCACTCCGCGGCGTGCGACGAATCGGCTTTCGTAGAGCATCGCTGCTCGCAGCATCCGCTGCGGGCGCCCCCGCCCAGCCGCTGCTCAGTTCCAAGCCCGCTCTGACTTCATATGTTACAGCCCGGGCGCTCTGCACACATGCTAGGACAGGTGCCACCATCAGGCCCCTTGCCC